CACGTAGCGAGAAATGTTTCAGATGAAGTTGATTGGTTTCGAAAGTGACATACTTTGATGATACTAATTTTCTTGTAGGTGGACGTGTAGAGGACATATGAAGGTCTTTAAATGGATACAAAATGGATGGACAAAATAGTACTAACCTGTTTATGTTAAAAAAGTCATTAGTTTGGGAGATATTTTAATTTTAATGTTGTTAGGAAATCATGACCCCTTTGTAATAAAATTTTTAAATTTATTATTTTAAAATGATAGAATTAATTTTAATGATTTATTTAATAATAATAATTTGTTATTTTGATTATATTATTTTAAGAAATTTAATTTATTTAATTATAATTATATTTTTTTTTAATTTTAATATATTAAATTGAAGAATAATTTTTTTAGATTTTAGTTTAAATTATTATTCTAATGGGTTAATTGTTATAATAATTTTAATTTTTAGAATTATTATTATAAATTTAAATTTTGTTAATTTTAAAAAATATTGTTTATTTTTAAATTTATTATTAATGTTTTTTATATATACAATTTTTTTTTCAATGAATTTAATATTATTTTATTTTATATTTGAATCAAGTTTATTATTCATTTTTTATATAATTATAAAATGAGGTTATGGTGAGTTTCGATTTAATTCTTCTTTGTTAACGTTGTAATGATTTTATTTACAGAAAACGTTTAATGTGACGGCCATTTACATCACGACATTTCCCGAATCGATAGGTTAATAATTCGCTCGCATTGTGCGATGTATCTCTGGTATTATTTTATCACACTAACAGTGATGACACGATCTGTCATATTGGACATTGTAGTCGGAGGCTCAGCGTGCACCTAATTTCCTAACAACATTGAAATTAAAATATCTCCCGAACTAATGATATTTGAACATGAACAGGTTGATAAATTTTTGTAAAGACTATCAAGGCGCGTCGACTGATGCAATAAAAAAAATATATCATTCCATTTAAAGAAACGTCAATGACCCTCGTATGTCCTCTACACGCCCACCTACAAGAAAACCAGTGTCATCGAACTGTACACCTCTCGAAACCATTCAACTTCATCTGAAACATTTCTCGCTACGCGTAATGATAATGACGTAAATCTAGATGGCAATATGTGGTGATCCACCCTGTATATAGGAGTCCGCGAGCCAGCTGCGCTCCAGGATCGCGTTATCTCCCTCGGCGATCCAAAGGGGAGCCGACGAGTTTAACGACACGTTGAGGAACGTTTCTTCAAAACGCGTGGCGAACGAGCCAGCAATGGATCTTCGGAACGATTCTATTCGGCCTGGCCGAAAATCCAATCGTCCAATTATTTTACAACGCTTTTAATTTGCATACTGCTCTGCCCCCCCCCCCCTGGAGGCATTCGCTGCCCGATCACGTTATTAACAAGCGCATTAAATGCCCGCGCAGCGTCATTACTGTCAGTATCATCGTATTTTCTATATAACGTAGCGATATCGGGCATTATTGGTGTCATCGTCGTGATTATCAAAGGGGTGGTACCCACCCATCTTTGATGGAGAATCAGGCTCGATCCGCTTGCTTTGCCGATCGTTTGCCAGCGAGATCAGCTTCAATTATTCAAATAAGCGTAGATGAGAGTAGTTGATAGCCTCGACGGATGCAACTCGAGGAAGCGTCGCGCCGCGGGTGCAATTCCTAGACGATCTTGCCCTTGGGGCCGATCCTCGTCTCTCTCTCTCTCTCTCTCTCTCTCTCTCTCTCTCTCTCTCTCTCTCTCTCTCTGTTTCTTTCTGCGTCTTTCCCAGTTCTCCTCTAGACGCGCGATGCCTCCCGAGGACTTTCCACAGCTGCGCTCTACACACAGAGCTATGAATGTATTTTTCTCCACCGGGGAAGAAAACCGAGGCAATCTGGTTGGAAGCAGCTTTAACGACGCTCAGGTTCCTCGAAGGAGGCGCAGGGCCGACTCGAACAAAGCGCCGAGGGAATAATTACGCCGCCGCGTAAAACGAGGATTAACGATACGATTATTGTACCGAACGGTTCAGCGTTCCTGCCACCAACGGAGGCTGTCCAACTATGCCGCACACCGGTAGCTGGACACACAATACCACTGTTGACCGATGTCGTGACCTCAGCTCAGGAAGAATGTTCACCACGCTCGCCAACCACCGCCAGGTAATGACAACTTTCTTTTTTCCTTCATCTGTCGTACACGCGACGAGCTGTACTTGCGACAGGCTTCCTTTCTTTCTTTTCCTTTCTTTTCTGTTTTTTTTTTTTTTTTTGGTTTGTTCCCAACGATGGAAGAAGTTGAACGAAATTGCGAGAGCGTACCCGACACGACTGCGTGGTACCCGCAGAGTTTCCTTTTTCTTTTCGGAACGTTGGGGGGCAGTGAGACGAACGAATGCCTCCAATTAGTAATCGACGTTTTGCGTCGTTAATTTAATTAACTCCCCGATTCGCTGCCGACACAGTCGTCGTTCACTTTGTCTCCTTGGTAATTTGATTTCGACATTGTTTTGACTACGCTCGGAGATAATCTTGCAAGGAGGAGGGCTCGGAGATAGCTTGCAATAGCTTTTAATTGTTGCTTGGAAGGATCGTTCGTTTATGTATCAGTTATCGGCCGATGTTTCATCTGCGTGCCATTTGTTGACAAGTAACAGCATTCGCACTTCGTTGTACATTGTATAATATAATATAATTACATTGTATGATATAATTTTATATATAGTTTATATATATAATTATATTGTATAATATAATTTTATATATAGTCTATATATATAATTATATTGTATAATATAATTTTATATATAGTTTATATATATATAATTATATTGTAATATATATATATATATATATAGTTTTATAATTTTATATATAGTTTATATATATTGTGTAATATAATTATAATATAATTTTATATATAATTTAATTTAATAATTAATATATATAATTTAATATAATTTTATATATAGTATAATTACACATACATACATTATATTTTATATATAGTATAATGTAATATAATTTTAATTAACGTTGCATGATATAATACATTGCTCTGAAAGTACGAGAACAGATTAATTTTAATTACGCTAAACTTGTCTAAACTAAAACTATAAGCAACAGAAATTAAAAAGAGTTAAAAGACACGAAATTATCGGAAATTAAGATGAACTAGAAGGCATGAAGAACGATATACTCTACAAGGCCGGAGGAGCGGCCTCTAATGGAATCAGAATTACCCTCGCATGAGATTATTTCTAAGTAACGAGAGGGTATTTGGTATGCTGCGAATGCAGTGGCGATCGATCAATCGCAAATAGGCAGACTGGGTGTAATTTCGTTCAAAGTGGTCGAGGCCAGTGATTCAGTTGCGAAATCGTTGTAAAATTGTTCTCCAGCTACCAGTGATATATTACCGAACGCGGCACGCCGCGGCTGGAACATAAATAAAACTGATGAAATCGGTATTTAATTAGCGATATTAATTGCCATAATTATTTCACTTGACGCGCGTAAACGGTCTCGGGTGTATCGCGTGGAGAAATCAAACCGGCTGACAGCGAAATGTACAAACTCATTACAAAGAAATTATTTTCTTAATGCCATTGGAACTTTATCAAAGATCAGTGAGACAAATAAAATCTGCTACGCGTTGTGAGCAATATCGCGATGGTTATAATTATTAGTTACCAACTATGCAACTGCCGAGCATCGTGATTTCAAAATAGGTTCCATTTCATCCAAGAAACGTATTCGTCTCTCAAGAACGAAGCCACTAATTCCCTCGCCAGATGCGTTGATCTTTTATAGAACCGTCGTTAAATCTGGCCGTAGAGCTGAAACGTAGCCACGAGTTAACCATCGACTCGTCGCGAGTGATTCTTCGTTCTTTCCGGCAGAAAACAAGCGCGCACACATTGCGCAGATTGTCTGAACTGTCGGCGACACGAGTGCGTTTATAAATAAAATATAACCGCAGGTTATAATCCCAGGTTTAATAAGCGTGGACGTTTAGTAGCTGGCGGGTTAACCGGTAGCACGAGTGCGCGTACATTAGCCGGCGCATAATTTTAGCACTCGGAGGCACTTCGACGGAGCTCGTTGCCCGTTGCGTCACAAAACACATCGTGGGTGAAGATAGCACCGTTTCGTTACGTAACGCTCTATGCTATCTTTCCTTTATCCTCTATTTTCGTTCCACAGACTTCGTGCCATTACCGCTCTCTCACTATTTCCCCCTAACCGCTCTCTTACATTCTCATTCATGCAGAGCATTCATCGCTGCAAAACGCTATTATTATTAAAATCGCAATATTTCCTTTCTACAAGGTATACGCGAAGATATACGCTCTTTTAGGTTAGTGTAAAACAAATGTAAGTGGTATATTACTTACTTGACAACAGAATTCTTTGCCCAGTACAAAGAAATCATCATAGTGCAGAATTCATTAAGTAGTTTGCTCGATGAGGATTCTTTGGAGTCACTGCCATTTCCCCTACATCCGCTTACAAACTCATTCATGCAAAATTCATCGCTGGAAAATACGTGATTATTAATTTGATGGCAACATCTTCTTTCGCAAGAAATAACATACGTGAAGATATGCTCTCTTTTAGTTTAGTGTAAAACAAATGTAAACAGTATTATTTACTTAACAATAGAATTCTTCGTCCAGTACGAGGAATAACAATAGAATTTAATCATCATGGTGCAAAATTCATTGACTAACCTGTCTCAATGCGTGACTATTAACTATTTTAATTATTTTTATGACGTGTCTGAAGATAGGCGCACGCTCTTTTAGGTTAGTGTGAAACAAACTTCAAGGCATAAGCATTATTTACCTAACAATAGAATTCTTTGTCCGATACGAGGAGTAACAGTAGAATTCTTTGTCCAATACGAAGAGTAACAGTTGAATTTAGAATCATCTTAGTGAAATATTCATTAACCAGCCTGTTTGATTGAGAATTCATTGATTATTTCAGGTCGAGGGTTCTGCCGAGTTTGTAATTGCCCGCAATCGAGACGACTCGCTGGCGCATGCGCGCGCTCTTGACATCTGCATCCAATATGGCGTGCGTAGCGAGACTGTCGCGGCGAGTGTCGTCGTTTTCCCGGCATTTTTCCGGTGTCACACGTTCTTACAACTCGTGGAATGGTAATAGTGAGGTGAAAAGATGGGGACGCAACACCGGATTGCTCGCAGCGGTGTCTGTCGCGCTCTTTGTCGGCTACAAATACCTGCCACCCGATACGGTTTACGCCAAGCCTCGAAAGGTTTGTAAACACGAATTTCTCTTCTTTTTATTTTACGCGATTGACCCACTTTTAGACGATACTGTTTGTAGTATTAAAACGATATTGAAGTACCAACGGGTAATTTAAGTAGCAAAGGCAGTGTCAGACGGAAAGAACGTATATAACATAAGTATTCGTGTACTTGACTTCAATGTTACCTCTGGACATTCCTCTGTAATTTTTTCGACATTGACATCTTGATTCACCTTGATTGAATTTTATTGCATATAAGGATTCATATAATCCTTGATCGAACGAAATATTATTGTCACTATCAGCAAGGCATACTGAGAGATCACCGAGCAATCACTGAGATTCGAGGTTACAAGTTATACATAGGTTAGAATTTGATCTTGTTTACGATGAAACAGCTTTGTAAACACCGCCTACATACATGGTACTGTAAATGACAAACTAGCAATATATAGTCTCTATAAAAATAAGCGAGGAGATAAAGTCCTATGCCAATAAATTTTATATAATTGAGGAAATTTGTACATAAATGTATATATTTTATCGTACAGATAAAATTATAATGAAGTAGCTTTAAACATGTTTCAAGTATTAATCAACGAATTGAAAAAAAAAAAAAAGAAAACTTAAATACAGAAATTACTTTATCCGTAATAAAGAAAACTTACAGTAATAAAGACCCATGTATAATTTTATTAACGTACATTCTTTCTCATATTTGAATTATAATTAGTGAGTATAATTAGAGAGATTACAAGTAGTATTTGTTTTAAAAAAAAGGCGCGTCCGCAACTGTATGAGAAGAGGCATGTTCAATATCAGAAAAACAGCTGGATTAACGTTTGACATGATACAGACCGCTAATGTTATCTTTTTTTTTTATATATATATCGCCATGTCAACGTTTTGTCATATTTGCTGCGTAATTAGTATATAATTATGGCGTTCGACATCCTAATCGATCCTTTTCAGCATGAAATGGCAAAAGAAAACGCGATCGACACGACTCGATAACTAACTAAGCAGTCAAACACGTTTCTAGAAATATGCGTTTGCCTAATCTTTTATTTTAAATCCGAAACTCTATTAATTACGTCCTGATTAATTACATAGATTACGTAATATCTCTGACCATGCGTTGTACTTGACGTTTCTGCTGAAATTCGAAATGTAAAACTGGCGATTTTAATTTAATTTTGATCGAGCGAGACGTGCTGATACGAGTTTGACCGAAAGTACTGTTTCAAGTGAAAAACTACAAGATTGATAAAAGAATTCCTCGTTGAGGAATAAATGGCCGTTTATATTTTAGGAGGTAAATGAATAATTATCCATGGCATTATGAATGAATATAGTGGATCAAAAAAATTTCTTGACAATATAATCTTTGTTAAAATAATTGATATATTAGCAAATAGAGTTTACTACGTATAAGAGTAATGCGCGTAATAGCAACTTCCAGTAATGAGTCGTGCAATAATAATACAAGAAACAGAAAAATTTTCGAGAGTGAGAAAGTACAGTTGACGCTGTATTTTAATGGCAGGATGTTTTTAGAAAAATTACACGATATCCTTTCGTAAGTACTGAAATGTTGCCAACGTCAGGGAAGGACGCTCATTTTTAAATTTATCATTGAAAATATTTCATGTTCTGGCCAAGCTGACACAGTAGAGAGCTTCAAAAAGAAGAAGCCTTTCGATTCTCGAATTTTTTCCACCGGTTGCATTATTATTGGAAACTCTTACTTCTGTACGTAGTGTAATTTTATTAACGTATGTACCTTCTTACACTTGAATTATATCTAGAGATAAAAACATATTTATTTGAAGAAAGAGGGGTAAAGAAGAAGCATCTCCAATGTTAAAGAAATATCAAAATTCGCGTATAAATACGATATGATACTTGTCGTCACAAAAATATAACACGCTAGACGTGTTATACTCTTTCGACAAATCGATGTACATCGTCGCTCTAAACGTCTCGATCGACCGAATATAATCTTCGCTCTCATACCGATCGGCAAGTAACCTGAGCGACTTAACCTCGTGGATGCAAATTTCAAATCTCGAGCGAGGGATAACGATCTGGCGATCGAGAGGACAAGCCTTTTACGTGTCGGTGTTACGTGTCGATCGTTCTTGGATTCTAGCAGAACAAGTGCAGATCTCGAGGAGGATCTGTGCTCGATCAGTGTGACTGTACGGCCACAAATCACTGAATCCCCCTTGAACCAGCCATTCTGCGACAACACCGCCAACTGACAGCCGTTATCGCGTTCGAGATTCGACCACGTCGTTTATTAGCGTTGCGACACAACGACGATCGACGGACACGTTATCCGATGATAAGGCGGAACACGAGAAACGCGACGAGATCGAACGACGACGGATGTCTTGAATGCTACGGCTCGTCATAAAACCGTTAGCTTCTGCTCCTCTGTTTCCGGTTGTGGAAAACTATCGATATCGATCAGGTCCGTGGGATTTTTAACCTCTTGCGCTGGTAACTGGTTCGCGGACCATAACGAGTGACCAGACCGTCACGCGATAGCTCGTCTTCTTTTTGAATTCATCGGTATATTACTGGATAGAAATTACCGAGAAGCAATAAATTTATCATTTGTTTTGCCTGGGTGATGCTTGAATGTACTTAAAGTTGAGAAAATATTGCAATTTTGGGTGAAATATTCTCGACGTGCGTGGCACGTCATTCCAGCGCAAGAGGTTAAAGTAAAAGAGAAAATTGAGAGACAATATCTCAAATTTCTCAAGAAACAAAAGCTTTTATTATTAACACTACAACTACCAACGGCTAAAATGAAAAATTTTCACCAGTTAACCTCTTGCGTTGGTAACTGATTCGCGGACCATAACGAGTGACCTGACCGTCATACGATAGCTCGTCTTCTTTTTGAATTCATCGGTATATCACTGGATAGAAATTACCGAGAAGCAATAAATTTATCATTTGTTTTGCCTGGGTGATGCTTGAATGTACTTAAAGTTGAGAAAATATTGCAATTTTGGGTGAAATATTCTCGACGTGCGTGGCTAAAGGTTAACCACTTGCGCTGGCAACTGATTGCGGACCATAACGAGTGGCCGAACCGTATACAATAATTCGTCGCTTCCTTTTTCTTTTGAACACGTCGGTATGAAATCACTGGATAGAAATTACCAAGAAGTATTAAATTTATTATTTGTTTTGCCTGGGTTGTATTTAAATATACTTAAAACTGAGAAAATATTGCAATTTTGGGCGAAATACGTGGCACGTCATTCTAGCGCGAAAGTAAAAGAGAAAATTGAGAAACAAAATCTCAAATTTGTCTCAAGAAACTCACAAATTTGTCACAAGAAAAGCTTTATTATTAAAGCTAAAATGAAAAACTTAACTTCTTGCGCTGGTAACTGATTCGCGGACCATAACGAGTGACCAGGCCGTCATACAATAACTCGTCGTAAGAGGTTAAGTCCAAGTGAGTAGTGCAAAACTTTCGATAACGTATAATCGATCATTTTGATCCATTACATTTTGTCGTGTTTTTCTGTGCATGCTCGAAAAAGTTCTGGTCTCTTTCGCGGCAGAAAAACTGATCCAGATACTAGGGGTCGATATCGTAATCAGGATCGAAGAAAAAATTCGGAAGAGAGCAAAGAAAGTGAAAGTTTGGTGAAACCTCGAATGACGTACGATGTCTAGCGTCATCGTAAGAGAAGAGAACTTTGCGACTCGCGTTAATTAATTTTTAACGCGTTTTTGATGAATGACAATTGCTTAATTCGTCCAGCTGTCGATAATGCACACTCGAATCAATCGTTTCGTTCCTTGGAAGTTCAGTTCAGACAACACGATGCCTTTCCAGTCCTACCAAACTGACAACATAACCTTCCTCTCACGAATCTCTGCCTAGAGATGTGTAGCTAAGAAGAGCTTCGAATTCAGTGTCACTTGTCGCTGTGTACATTTGCCTTTGTTCACAGCACACGCGAGACTGGACACGAAGGAATGGAAAGAAAAAGGCACGAAGAGGCGTAGGAAAGAAACACGAGATAACATTCATGGAATTACAAGCGATTCTACTCGAAGAGATAGTATTGAGAGAATCGACAGCTTCGTATATGTACGAGGATACTGCTTGGCGTATCTTGAAAATAGTTACTCGAGACGCAGTCACGTACACCCGCTGAAGAAGAGAAACTATAACGAATGACAATGGATCTTGAATTGAAACGTCGACGCAGAAACGTATTGTACTTGTCACGTTGTACAAGCTATAAATCGATATTAATTTTCGACAGCGATATATTCACCGAAAAAAAAGAAAAAAAAAAAAAAAAACTTACCACTTCACCTCGAATGAATTTCCTTTAGAAGCGCATTAGCGTGGATATTTTAGAAAAGCGTCGAGCACGTTGATCCGTGCCGAGATCACTAAGGACTCAATTTGCGGCTTGAATAACGATCTGTACCGCTAGCCATTTACCAGTACGTATGCGTGCTTTCTCCGTACGCTGGTAGCCCAGGATTAGCCCAACGATGTGATCCGATGGTAATCGACGCGGCTACCACGTCCGGATATTTATACGATTTCGAGGAACTCGTCTAGAGAGAGAGAGAGAGAGAATTAGAAGTCAGTGCGGGCGTAAATCATGATTTTCGTGCGATAAAGCTCTCCGAGCTGTCGAACGTGTATCGCGAAACACACCTGGAAAGAACTTGGCCGATTATTCGCCCTGCCCCACCCCCTCCCGCGAGCTATATCTCTCGATACGATTATGCTTCTTGCTCTGCCTGGCAGGGAATTGATTATTAAAAGATAGGATGAATAATGAGAGGCAAGATAGAGTCGGTCGGATGAGATACAATTTGTTAAGAGGTCGATTACCAAGTCAAAGCCAATTACCGAGTTTTTGAGACACGAAAGGGGAGACTTGAAATGCGGCCTTGCCGTCCGTAGTTGGATGCACGCCGCGTAATTTGCTTTTAGGATAATTCGCTTC